AAGCTTCTTCTCAGCAAAGTAAACAACCAATAAAGTGAATAGAGATCCTACAGAATGGGAGAAAATCTTTACCGCATGCACATCAGATACGGCATTAATCTCCAGGATATATAAAGAACTCAAAAAACTTAACACAAAAAAAATCTAATCAATAAATTGGCTAAGAAACTGAACAGATACTTCACAGAAGAATAAATACAATCAATAAATAAATATATGAAAAAATGATCAACATCTTCAGCAATTAGAGAAATGCAAATCAAAATTACTATAAGATTTCATCTCACTCCAGTTAGAATGACAATCATCAAGAATACAAGTAACAATAAATGTTGTGGAGGATATGGGGGAAAGGTTCACTCATACATTGCTGGTGAGACTGCAAATTGGTGCAACCATTATGAGAAAGCAGTATGGAGATTCCTCAGAAACTGTGGAATGGAACCACCATTTGACCCGGTTATCCTACTCCTCAAGTATATACCCCAAGGACTTAAAATCAGCACTACAGTGATGCTGCCACATTAATATTTATAGCAGGTCAATTCACAATAGCTAAACTATGGAACCAGCCTAAGTGCCCTTAAATAGATGAATGAATAAAGAAAATGTGATATGTATACATAATGGAATATAAATGAACCTTAAAGAAGAATGAAATTATTGTATTTGCCAGTAAATGGATGAAGATGGAGAATATCATGCTAAGCAAAATAAGCCAGTCTCAAAAAACTAAAGGCTGAATGTTTTCTCTGATATGCTAATGTTAATTCACAATAATGGAGGAGGGCTGGGAAAAAATAGAGGTACATTGGGTTAGGTAGAGGGGAGTGAAGGAAGACAAAGGGGTATGGGGGTCATAAGGATAGTAGAATAACTGGGACATTATTACCCTATGTATATATATATGATTATATGACCAGTGTGATTCAACATCATGTACAACCAGAAGAATGAGAAGTTATATTCCATTTATGTATGATGCATCAAAATGCATTCTACTGTCATGTATAACCAATTAGAACAAATTTTTAAAAGTCTTTTTTAAAGTGTATCAATAGATGTTATAGCATATATAAGGCCAATGTCTTATTTGATTGAAAGATACATATGTTGTAACAGTCACTTACCTATTTGAAAACATAATTAAAATATTAATAGAACCTTAAGAACTTTTCTTTTTACTTTCACTATCTTAAGAAGCTAATTTCATACAATTCTGATCAAAACTTGAAATTGAAACTTCTGCTAGGCAGTAATTGTAAGTATCTGAATGTAACACAACTTATTTTGCTTGGTATTTTATTTTGCTTGAAATTATATGATAATATATGCATACTACTCCCAGATGATTTTTCCCTAGCTATCCTAATTAGTGATGTTTTACCATATGACTCTTCTCCTTTGTTAAAACCATGAGAAACTTTGGCATTTAGGTATAAAGTAACATTTGGGACATTGCCCAGGCTTTACAAAAAAATAAATAATAAATAAATTACTTAAAGCACATATTATACAAGCCTTTTACAAAGAACACTCCATCTCACTAAAGAGAGAGAGGAAAAATTGGATTGATTTTCTTTGTAAACTCCTTGAGTGTTTTGCTGAACATCTTGATAGTAAGCAGGTTTATGAAAGATCCTTTATAGCCTATTCATCCATTTCTATTATGCTATACTCTATAAATATTAATGTTCACAGAAGAAAAAGAATCCATTTATAGCAAGAACATTACTATCTAAACTTTGAGGATTAAATATGTTGATAAAAAACTAATTATACAATAAAACATTTCCTCAATTAAAACTTACAAAATTTTAAATGACAGTTTTTTTTAATTTTAAATGATTTTTACATAAGTATAAAAGAACAGGATCGGTTGAAGTCATACTGAGTTAGTTAGAATTGCTGTTTGGGGACAAATTGGCATGAGTTTATAAGATTATGGTCATTTTGTTGAGTTTAACTGAAGGCAATCAACAGCATCATGGCAAAACTGTGACTCTGAATATTGATGTATTTTTAGAAACTCTGCTTTTTTAAAAAGGATAATTAAAGAAAATTAAGATGATATGCTACTTAGTCAATCCATCAGTAAAAAGTAGATAAATATATTTAAAAACTAGCTTGAAGCAACAGGGGAAAATTAGTATATTTACCTTTACCTAAGGAAGCAATATAGTTTCTCATAAGTATTTTTTCCTATTTTGTTATGAATGTATTTGTGTATAGATGTGTGTATAACAAAAATATTAATTTTCTTCACCTTAAATTTCCTTATCATAAAATATATTAACTTTATATCATAGTATTTAAACACTATTAATGTGATGTCTTTGTATTTAAGCCACAGGAACTCAATGAGATGAGTAAACACTGCATGAGGACTTCTTGGCTTTCTCTGAGGAAAGTATTAATATATTTTTTCAATAGTACTGAGCTGTATCATGGTAGGTGGACGTATGAGCTTGACACTCCTTATTTGGAGATTGAGTATGGTGGAACAAGAGGTTATTTGGGCACCAAGTTGACAAGGGGTGAATCTGTGATGAATACCTTTAAGTGACAACTTGGCTACCTGATTATGTAGCCAAACTTTATTTCTGTAAAGATATTTTTAGATGAGATTAACATTTAAATCAGTAGACACTGAGTTAAAGTGATTACCACCCAGTAATATGGGTGGGATCCATGTAATCAGCTGAAGGTCTAAACATTAGTTCTGTTTCTCTGAACCCTGACAAATACAACCCAACCCGGCCCCCAGTTAAGAGTTTGAGCTCTTGAGTCCAGATTGCCTGGGTACTGATCCTGAGTCTTCTAGAAAGTAGTTGGAAGATCTGGGAAAATGAATTGACTTCTTAACTTTATTGAGCCTCAGTCTCCTCCTTTATAAAAAAGGGATAATAAATGTTTAACCTTTACTTCACAGGATTGTTTTGAGGACTAATTTTTATACATGAAAAGTGTTTTATAAAGCAGGATCAAAGTGTTACACATTGTTGCAAGCATTCAACAAATATTAACTATTATCTCCAAATTCCTTCTCAGATAGCTACAAAACTTGCAGTTAGTTCTAGAAAACAAGAATGAGATGGATAAATAGAATTTTTTAAAAACACTTAAAAAGTTATTTAGAATTCGATTTTTGTAAGAAATATTCAAAATGAAGGCAAACTACCACAAATTTTCAAATTTTCATTTCTCAAATGCAACACTAGTAATTAGCATTTGAAAATAACTGAAGTAAAAGCATTCCTTACTGATTACCATATCTATGTTCTTAAATAGATGCCTATCAATGTAATATCTGAAACATCATATCATACAATGATATTAGTATATTATAATCTTAGCAATATTTTAAATGTGATTTCTAATTGTTACTAGTTCTTAACATGCTGCCTCTACTTTTATATTCCATACTTGACTTCTATATATTTCTTCTCATTTTTCTCATCCTTCCTGCTCACTACCCACATATATTCTTGCCCTATGATTTAATCCCTTTGCCTGAAATTCTCTGCCAGATAAACAGTATTTGTATTTTTTGTTTATTGTGTTTTGGTTTTTACCAAAAGAAAGCCAAACTTTTTTTATTTATATCCTTTTGGCTTGGAGAAGAAATTTATAATGTTGACATAAAAGATGAAAACTATGAAGGAAAAAAACTATAGAAATTGCTATTTAAAAATGAAATGCTATTTAAAAATGATATATATTGAAAGTCTAATATATATATATATATATATATATATATATATATATATATATATACATATCAATGCAGAAAGAACATTTCCTACAAAAGATCAAGTATTTAACAGAGGTAATAATACTTATTATTGTTTTGTAATATTTTATATTACACATTCATACAAACTATCCCATTTTTAATTTCCTAATAATCCTTTAAAGAATCCTTTAAAGAAACAGGGTTTATCACTGTTGGCAGTAATGGTATTTGGGGCCAAATAATAACTTATTTTGGACAGCCACTGTGTTGAGCAGTGACCCTAGAGTCTATACAGTAGAAGCCAGTAGCCTCCCTATACAAACCTAATTATGACAATCAGAAATGACCCAGATACTGCCCAATGTCCCCTGAGGAACAGAATCATCACTAATTGAGGTTTGCAAATTGACAGAAAGCAACAGTATTTTCTTTTTTACAAATTAGTAGGTGATACTCAGAGAAATTAAATGAGTTGTCCAAATACACCTTTTCTCTTAATGACTTACAAACATGACATTTATGGGATGACTTGAATCATGAATCACTTGACATGAATGTCTTAGTAAAATACTCATCACACCTAATAAGCCACAACTGTGACTTTTATATGCCAAGTAATTCATACCACAGACGTTTCTGAACTCACTTTCCTCTCAGCTGATTCTATCATTATTTCAGGCTTCTTTTTTCTCACAAAAGGAAATTAGGCTATTATAAACTTCAAGTTAGAAATAAGCATTATGAAAATTGGCCTAGGCATAAAACCTATTCACATAGTGCATGTTTTGGATTTTTTTCAAAGCAGTTTCCATCTCCTCTTGTACAAAATTTATGAAAGGGACTATCACTTTTATCAATTGGACAGCTAACATGCCATCCAATCTTCGTGATCTACCTCTATCATAATATGTAGGACACTGGAAACATTTCCTTTCATGGAAGTATCATAGTAGGAAAGTTAGTCATGTGCTGAGAATTAAGGGTAGAGTTGACACTTCCGTTTACTTGACCAAAAGTACCTTAACAATCTTGAGTTACTACTGAAAAAAATGTGGAGTTGCCATATTAGTATTCTAAACACACACTTTATATAATTAGTTAACCACTGTATCTAAACAGATTTCAACTCTTTTCAAACTGTTTTGTTCTCAACAAAAGAAAGAAAACTGGAATTGCCCCATGTAATACACTGCCATCTGTGTGCAGGCTGATAAGACCAAAGGGGAATGTGTGAATGTCATAGGATCAGGGCTGCGAACCTTACCTTCCATGACATACACCAGTGACCCCACGTCTCCTTCTTTGATGATGCAACTGTCTTTGCCATATTCCACTGGGTACATACAATCCACAATCTCCTGGATCTGCGACAGCTCCAAGTTCTTCATGAAGTCATTATCGAGGATGGCTTCCTTTATGAGATCCTTGGACCTGCAGCAAGAGGGTGGAGAGTTACTGACATCTGACCAACTCTTTCCTAGTTTGTATGGCTTAGCAGAGCCATGCAATTCTCTGGCACACTACAAATGCATTTTCTTGTGAGGAATCCAATACTTTCCTGGAAAACCTAAGAACAAAGTCGTTCCATGGCAGTAGAAAAGCCGAAGAAATTTTCCTTTAAGCAAATTACCATTTAATGAATAAGTGACAAATAAAAAACAAATAAAAACAATTTGATTTGATTTGACAATTTTTTAACAATAAAGATTATGGGAAAACTAATGAGCAAACATTTTAAACTGAGGTTTGTAATTTTGTTTAAGAATAAATACAAATAAAATACAAAAATGATAGAACAATTTTTGCTATGTTTATATATTATAAAAGACATCAGACATGCATTTTACTATGTGAAATAATATAAAATGTGATTTGTTTACTTATTTTCTGCATGCCTCTTCTATTAGACTTTAGGTTCTACATAAGAAGGGATGGTTTTTAATTTGTTCCCTAATATGTGCCCAATTTCTACTACAATGCCAGTCATGGTATGGGAGCTCCAGACATATTTTATATAAAAAATTGGTTAAGAATTTGATTCCTTATTGTTGTTTGTCTTCATAATAGCTGCCATTCTGACTGGAGTGAGATGGTATCTTAGAGTAGTTTTGATTTGCATTTCTCAAATTGCTAGAGATGTCGAACATTTTTTCATATATTTGTTGATTGATTGTATATCCTCTTCTAAGAAGTGTCTGTTCATGTTCTTGGCCCATTTATTGACTGAGTTATTTGTTTTTTGGTACTTGGCTTTTTCAGTTCTTTATATACCTAGATATTAGTGCTCTATCTGATGTTATGAGGGGTAAAAATTTGCTCCCAACATATAGGCTCTCTATTCACCTCACAGATTGTTTCTTTTGCTGAGAAGAAATTTTAAGTTTGAGTCCATCCCATTTATTGATTCTTGGTTTTAATTCTTGTGCTATAGGAGTCTTATTAAGGAAATTGGGGCCTAATCCCACATGATGAAGATTAGGGCCTACTTTTTCTTCAATTAGAGAGTCTCTGATTTAATTCCTAGTGTCAGCGAGGATGTGGGACTGCAAATTGGTGCAGCCAATATGGTAAGCAGTATGGAGATTCCTTGGAAAACTCATAATGGAACCACCATTTGACCCAGCTATCCCTCTCCTTGGTCTATACCCAAAGGACTTAAAATCAGCATACAGGGACACAGCCACATCAAAGTTTATAGCGGCACAATTCACAATAGCTAAACTGTGGAACCAACCTAAATGTCCTGGATTAAAAAAATGTGGCATATATACACAATGGAATATTACTCAGCAATAAAAGAGAATAAAATCATGGTATTTGTAGGTAAATGTATGGCTTTGGAGAAGATAATGTCAAGTGAAGTTAGCCAATCCCCAAAAAACAAATGGCAAATGTTTTCTCTGATATAAGGTGACTGACTCATAGTGGGGTAGGGAGAGGGAGCATGGGAGGAATAGATGAACTCTAGATAGGGCAGAGGGGTGAGAGGGGAAGAGAGGGTGCAGGGGGTTAGCAATGATGGTGGAATGTGATGGACATCATTATTCAAAGTACATGTATGAATTGGTGTAAACATACATTATATACAAACAAAGATATGAAAAACTGAAAAGAAGAATTTGATTCCTAATTATCTGGTTGAAATAACTGTAGAAATGTAAAGTTCATGCTTTTTTTAATTATTATTTTTTTAATTTTGGACACTGGGAATTGAACCCAGGCACACTTAACCACCGAGGCACATGATCCATATCCCCAGGCCTTTTTTCATTTTTTTAAAATCTGAGAATGGGTCTCACTAAGTTGCTTAGGGCCTCGCTAAGTTGCTGAGGTTGGCCTTGAACTTGGTATCCTCCTGCCTCAGTCTTCTGAGTCACGGAGATTATAGGTATCCATTACCGCACCTGGCTCTTCATACTTCTTTAGAGAATATTTATTTCTCCAAACATCTTAATTTGAGGTAACCAGGCAGATAAAACTCTGTAGAACAAGATGTTTGAAATAAAATGTTTTAGATCTGAAACTAAACACAAGTAGTGAGTAGGAAAGATATGTACAAATTCTATAATTTAACAGAATGTTAACCTAAAACATGGTAGTAATTTTATTCACTGGGATAATAAAAATTCTAAACCACTTCCTAAAGATAACAAAACGCAAGGGGGAAGGGGCATTAAGAAACATGCTGTCAGGAGGAGCACAATCAGAGCACCAACCAGAGTTGGAAAGTGAATAACACAAAAGCCAAGAGCTTAGCATACAGAGAGAAAGCAATACATTTGGAATTTTATATTGAAAACCTTAATTTTAAAAAAAAATGGAACACAAGCTGGCCTTTGTTCACATTGACTCAGCAAGTGGCTTCCAGGGAAGTGAACTATAGTATGAGAACTTACTAGAGCATCAGCTGCTCCTGAACAGCTTCTCATCTAGACCTCCGTCTGATGGGCCTAGCCCTCATACACTGTGAGGTATCATCATTTGGTTTCAAATAACAAAAAGATGTACATAAAAATTGGGAATAATTGAATCATTTGGGGTTGAGGATCAGTGGTAGAGTGCTCACCTGCCACATGTGAGGCACTGGATTCAGTTCTCAGCACCACATAAAAAGATAAATAAATAAAGGTATTGGGTCCATTTACAACTAAAAAATATTTTTAAAAAGCAATTAAAACTTCACTGGTGTGAAGAATACCACTGACATTGTCAGTTTTGCTGCAATTAAAATTATGTTTATGAAGAGTATGAATGGCACAGGGGACATCATAATATTTTTAAGGGAAAAAGAAGGATAGAAATTTGGGGGGGGGGTAAGATAAATATGTATGTAATAAAATGTAAAACAAAAAAAAATAGGCTTTCAAGTTAAACCCTAAACCCGTCACCTAAAAAACTTGCCTTACTTTTCTCCATTTCCATTTTATTATCTGTAAATGGTATTTTCAGAATTACCAAACTAGCAGGTTTATAAGTGATAACTAGTAATGATATAATGTTATTTCAGTGAGTTGCAGGTGATAAGGATGGTAATAGTGTTGACTGCAGTAGCAACAAGAGGGTGTTAATAGAGTACACAGTTATGACTTGAAACAAAATCAAAGGAAAGTGATCCAAAGTTTGACTGTAGTTGTCTTTGGTGATAGAATTACATTTTTTTCTTTCTTCTATATAATTTTTTAGAATGGGCAGGCTTTTTTATATTAAAACATCTTAGATTTTAAATGTAACTTATAGAAAGGGACTATGCCATACTGAAAAATAATCTTTCGCTCATTGAATTAATGACTAGATATTTAAAACTGGTGACTCAGTATTACTCTTCAGTAGACTCTCTGTCATGGCTTATGTTTAAATACTCATGGCAGGACTTTTCACTTCAAGAAAAGATAGTGATGAATGGCAAGTCATTAAGAACTTCAGGATGTTCTCCATCTAAAAATGTCCCGGTTATGAGACGTCAACTTCGGCTCAACAGAGTTCTTCAGCTGCATAATTCCTGCTGGTTTTTTTTTTTTTTTTAATTCCCTCTTACCTAAACTTTGTCATTTTGTCTTAACATGAAAAGTGACTTCTCTTCTCAGGCTGCAAAGCAGGATACAAAACTTGTCTCTATCCACAATTTTCATGAGGTCCCCTCCTTAATCTTCATCACTGACCTCAATAACACCAGTGGAACCTTTGTACCAACTCCCAAGATCTATTGTTCTATGATTATCTTTCCAAATGCCAGGGGGTTTGATCTTTAAGAAATTCGTTTTAGTCAAATCATATTATAGGCTGTCTTTGGTAAACATTTCTCTTATTCGGGTCAGAGGATGAGGTCCTCCAATGGGTTCATAGTTTCTAATATAATAAAGACTAGATCTTAACCCAGAAACCCAGTGTATTTATGACAGATGGTATCGTATCCTTTGGGAAATATTAACCATATTTCATTAAATATCTAAGTTCTAGAAGTATGACAAGATTAGAAATAAAGCTCTCTCCCAAGAAAATAATTAGCTCCATCCAAAGATGATTGAAGGAACTCTCTCTGCCTACATAAATAGTAATATTAACCTATATTATGAAGATATCAGAAAAGATGAGACAATGAGCTCTAACAGAATCCCTTAGAATTATCCAAATTTTCCAAGTGTTTATCACAGAACACCTGTGGATTTCTGGATGCTCTTGCTTCTCAAATTCCATCCTGTCCATCCACAAGAATGAGGTCCTAATTAGAAAAAGATATATTCTATACTTGTATAATTTTATCAGAAGAGATTCTACTGTCATTTATAACTATGAAGAATCAATAAAAAAAAAAGAAGGAATGGCCCTTTGTTGTACAGTGGTCATTTCAAATATCATAGCCAGTTAAAGACTGTTTCTCAATTTCAGGTATTTACTCTATTATCATTTACTGAGCAGGGAAGAGGGAAATGCAGAAATAAATTTAATATTGCTTAAAAAATTTAGATGGATAACATTTAATCTTCTCAGGTCTCTGAAGAAGTCAAGTAGAGGCTTTCATGTATGCATTGAAATCACGTTAAAATAAACTGCCTGGGTTGGAGGTGGTGGAGAGCTTGCCTAGCATAGGAGAGATTCAGGGTTCATCCCCAACATCACAAAAATCAAAGTCAAAAAAATCAAAATAGGACCTATGACTTATCATTTATCCCTTCATTCAAGTATTGTTCAATAACACTTTTTGTCTTTGAAACATCACAGATAATCTGTCTCTGCCCTCACAGCAAGATAAAAATCTTGCATTTCTATGAAACTCAACTGAAAGACATTCTTGGCAGTAACACTCAAAAGCCCGGCCTCTTCATTCATTTTTCCTTTAAATCCTTTCCCATGGAGAACTGGGAACCTTAGGTCAACCCTCATTAGTCTCTACTTGCTCCAACATTGTAGACTAAAATTAATCAGGGCCTCCA